ATATATGTGGGAAAAAGTCATTTGATTTTGACCTGACAAATTCTGCTGCGGGAGGTGCGTTGCAGTGCCATTCATTTCAATGGCACCACAAACGCACCTCCCACCCAGTGTGATTGCCTGCAATAGAACGTACGGTACTGCAATGCTGTGCATTCCAGAACAGTGTGATTGAAAATAATTGTGCATGCAGTTTTATTCTGAAGAAAACTGTGTTTGTAACACTGCATTTGTGTATTTTATTTTAAATTAAGGGTGGTATTTAATTTTTTATCCGATCAAAAAAAATAATCAGCCAACTAATTGATTATGAAAATCATCATTAGTTGCAGCCCTAATGGTAGGTTCATTTTCAGACATTGTGAGAATGTGAACTTACCCTTTAAACACAACGCACTGCAACATAGAGCATTTGCATCTATGGTTTGGGGGCACCACAGAAGACTTTGCATTTGCACTGTGGTATAAGTAACAATGAATGGCGATGCACAGCAACACACACAGTGCATCATGGTGTGAAATTAAAGGAAACGCAGCATTTTGGCACACCAGCCAGCAAGATGAATAGTCTGAAAACAGCATTTACCATATAAACTTCTCTTACGTCTGTTCCAGCTGTTATATTTAACGATTATGAGCCGATAGTGAGAATGTAATCTACTTAAAGCTAAACTCTGGGCAGATATAAAAGATATATTATTAAATGTAAGCAGTGTAAGTATCTGAAATTCACACATCAGCCTTGCAGCCCACTGTACAGCCGAGCTTAGACTGGGAGATGGAACAAGGATGGTTTCCAACTCAAAAGTTGTGTTGCAATACTCATTTGGTAAAAAAAGGAACATGCTGAAAGAAGGAGAGAGCAGAGTGACAGTCTGCTGCTTTTCCTTTCACAGGCTAGAGGAGGAACAAGACCTGTAAATGTTGCTTAACTGCAGTAGAGAGCTCTGTGTGAGAGCTGTACATCTATGGACTGAATGTACTAAAATACAAATCCTGCCCTTATATGTACTATATGTGTGTATTTAGCTGCCTGCCTGGAGCCCAGATTCAATGTATCTATCTTCAGAGATGCACAGTTACATCCTATTGGCAATAAGCATGATATCAGCATAGACATTCAAAGTACCCACAGTGCTTACGTGGGAAAACTCAACAAGTAGCACTAGACACAGCAAATACCTGAAAAGCCGGTACCAGCATAACACAACAAATATGGTTTACATACATTTTCTCACAGGCAGGCCGACATCAAACAGAAAAGTGGAACGTAGCAAAGTTATATGGTACCCTTAGACACATTGCATTTCACTGAATCGTGCTGACACTGGCATTTGAGCAGACTGGCCAAATATTTTTAGGCCGATAGATTATTGCTCCCTTATAATAAAGAATGGGAATATATCACACATAGGATAACAGCCTGCGGATTTATGATCCTTATGAATAAAATGTGCGGTAAAGGGTAACATTTACTAAATTATCACCAATCAGCTCTACTAATGCATTTTCACACCGTTACTGTAAGGGCCCATTCACACCAGGCGCTGAGCCAATCACACAGCGCCTGGTGTGCGGTGCCCTGACAGGGCCGAAGTGCTGATCCCAGAGCATGGCACTTTCTTTTGTTAGTACTTTATAAAAATGTCACAAGTGGCATTTCATTCAGTTCTGCGGTGTGCGAGGCAGCTGTACTGTCATGCATCCTGCGGCTTTTTTACAGCGCACACCAACGCGTTCCTATCGTAATGTGGTGATTTGAATGGGCACCATCCGTGACGAGGCAAATTGCCTTGTGTTGTGTTGGGGCTGCGCTGGAAACAACGGCCAGCGCATGTCCTAACGCAGGTGGTATGAATGGACAAGTCAAATGCTGCTTGGTTTCTATGAGCAACAAGAACTGCTCATCTAGAGAAGGCCGTGTTTGTCACAACACCAAAATCATTACCTGGCCTATTTTCTAAAACTTTCCCCACAGTTTTCTCTCTAAAGTATAAAAACATTATGTGACTTGAAATGTAGAGCGCAATCAATGGCCATAGGTAGAACGTGCGTTATAGCCAGGGCTTGAAAAATTTGATGGTGTCTCACGAGTCAGTCAAAAATGTCACCAGTCAGCATGACCGGACTATAGCCTTGCAATTTATGTTAACATTTTTTGGGGACAGATAGAGCTTTCTTTTGGAGGTATATAAATCACCCCCGGGGGAGGGGAGGGGGGGTTATTTTTTTACTGTATAATGAAAAAAGTACCATAAATGTAAAAAAAAAAGTTTCCCCACGTTATGTTATAAAACTTTTATTCTCACCCTTATTTTTAGTAAAACATAAAAGTCAGGGTCACGTCGGGTAAATAGACACCAAACATGTCAAGCATGAAAATTGTGTGCGTCCGCAAAAAACGCCCATAGGCAACGATTAAAACGCTTTTACTGCTCATCAGTTTAGTGTTATCAGTGATTAATGGCTCTAACATTATTGCTCTCACTCTGCCGTTTGCGGCGATATGTAACATGTGCGGCGCAATCGTCGTTTTCGCACGTAGGCACACCCGACTCATATCTGCGTGTGTATGTGGGGGGCAGGGACTTTTTAGAAGAAAAAAAATGTAAAAAATTTTTAATGCTTTATTTTTTTATGATTCTTTAATTTTTGTACTATTTTTTTTTTTTTTACACACAACTTTATTGCTATTACATAGGTGTATGTGATAACCAATTGACATGACAGGTCCTCTTTATGGAGACATCAGGGGTCTCCAAAACCCGTCACCTAGGAACCCCTAGAGAAGCTGATGAAGCAGAGATCTGCTTCATCAGCTTCTGTAGCTGGAGAGTGACACTGAATGCAGGAAGTGATGTATTATACATCACTTCCTGTATTCGGGGACTGAGAGAAGATCAAAGGGATCAAATCCCTTTGATCTCCTGTCACAGAGCTGTGCCGGTCCCGGCCGCATCGGGCACAGCGGAATGTCGGGACCGACAATGGCAGTGACAGCTGCTAATACAAGTGATAGAGCGTCTCTAGAGACGCCCGATCGCTTGAATGTAAAGCTCCCGGCCGGCCGTGTAATTACAAAGGCCGGCCGGGAAGCTGCTAGTCGGGCTCCACCGTCTGTTCGTCACAGACGAGTGGATTTTTCAAGGCCTGGTTAAAGCAGTATGCATTGTACTAACTTGCATGATTTACAGGATCTCATTGCTGGCAGCTACTGAGCAGTTGCAGTAGGAGCCTGTGGGAGGTGCTCTTGGTTTTCCATCAGAAGCAGATGGTTGGAGACGTATAGCCTGCTTTTATACATCATTTAATACTGTACTGAATGTACATAAATCGCATTTCACACTGAAGAAACAATCTACAAAACTTATTGTGGAAGATATTCACTAAAGACCCCGGAATTAAGCAAAAGCGTCCTACAACTGATTGTCAAGTTCACTCTAAACTGAAATTTAACTTATAGGAGCTTGTTAGCAGGTTCAAAACACACCCGGGAGAGGGGGGTGGGGATGGAGGGGATTTACTAAGGGCCATTTACACATACAGCAGTGACCTGCATTTTATTGCACAAGATAAATGCAACTCACAGCAACATGTAGAAATTATTTGCCTGATGAAGGAACATTGCCATGAATGGGGATATGACCTGCTTGAATGAATAAAAGGATTTCTTTTGGAAGAAAACTTGGGAGTGCTGGTGACCATTTATTTTGTTTTGCAACTATTTGCCTGCTCACATCATAATGCGGGTGTGCTTTTACAGCATACAGTGCTGTTGTGTGGGGACTTCAATGGAATTGTTTACATTGAGCAATGCCAATAAAGTTTTTAAAAAATAATATGTAAACAATGGCGAGCTGTAGCAGCATGTGATACAATGCACATTGCCGGAGCTGCCACAGTGCATTAGCCTTCCCACTAAAATGCACTGTTTTAGCAGACGGACTAGTGTGAAAACCTAAAATGAGCAGACAGAATCTTGAGCAGCAGTGCATGGCAACTAAATGAGCTTCTATCTTCAGCTTTTTTTTTAGTTAACTTTGAAAATGAAATTATTGGTCACTATGAACAGCTGCTCCAGATGCTGCCTGCTCCAGTCTTAGGCCTCATTCAGACAGCTAACTGCCGGCCCGTACAGATCCACGCGGCGTGCACGGCCATATCGGACCTCTCCCGGGAAGGACACGTGTTGCGAGTGATTGTACGCAGCAGCCTGTTCTTCCCTATGGGAGTAGGCGGCCCTATGCCGCCGTACGCACACCCCGAACTGCACATCTGTGCCGGTGTCCGTGCGCCATCGTAGACACCTGTCCTTACCAGGAGCTGCCCGATATGGCCATGCACGCCGCACGGATCTGTACGGACCGGCAGTTAGCCGTGTGAATGAGGCCTTCGTTTATTCGCCCCACTGGTTTCTCATCTCTTGAAGTGTCCGGTAAGCTCAGAGCGTCTGTCCATCTGCTGCTGCCTTTACAAGGGTGTCATTATGTCATATTTATTGACTGGACAGATTATTGTGGCCAGTTTGATGGAATATCTTCTTAAGATGTATATTGATCGTGGATGTGGGTGGGCGGTGAGTGTGAGACGGGGAGGAGGTGCGGCGTGAAGAGCGTGGATGCTGGCGGGTCTGGCAGCGGCGAGTGAGGTGGGGAGGAGGTGCGGCGCGCAGCGTGTGGAGTCGTGAATGGGACCAACTGATCGGAAGCCGATCGATTATTGAAAAAGTTGACAACTTTTTCAATAATCGATTATAATCGATTATGTCGATTAGTTGTTGCAGCCCTATTAAAAACACATTATACGCAGTATACTCCCGAGTTTTATATGGCAAGGTCAATCACAGAACAAGAGTAACTATGCTATGATCTGCACTCCGCTTACTGCAATGCATATATTCACAAACCCATCAACACCCAGAAAAGAAGATATTGCCATCGTTTCCAGCAGCCTAAACATTGTCAAAACTGGAGCAGACACAATCTATGGGAACTGCTCCAGATTGCGTCGGCTCCAGTTTTGATAAATTCCCCTCTATGCCTTTATTTCTTTTTATTTAGAGATGAACAAATCACATGTCACTATACAGGGGACATTTCATAATAACAAAACAAGGAAACAAAAGAATTGCACTGCATTTTAATTAAAATCAGACATAGTCAGAAAATGGTGTACTTACTGCAAACCTAAGCAAAAGGCAAGATTTCCCCACACCAGAGTCTCCAATCAGAAGCAATTTGAATAAATAGTCACTGTAAAGAGAAGGAGGATATATAGTTTACACAACAAGTCATCATCCACATGTCACACTCACATGACACAAATTCCAAAGCTCCATCCAGAGGCCTCATCCTTTTCCCCTCCTCCCTCAGCCCAGTCTGCAAAGACCTGCCAGGTCTTACATGTTACAAAATGTTAGAGCAAAGAACAATAAAATGTGTTGTATCATGCACGGTGTACACGGCTCTATATACCAAGTGCACGGAGGGCTTCATTCATACCATAGATACGTCCAGGGATAGTGATCTATTCCTAACCACACGTAATTAGGTCACATACATGCATGTAGTGCGGGCAGACCGACACTTGATCATTAACTTGAATGGGTCACAGCGGCTGCTTCTAAACGGCATTATTTGGGATTATTGCCACAGGAACCCCTAAACGCACAGTCTTAGTTTAGTGTGAATGAAGCCAGGCCGGGCCATACAGGTCACGATTTGTCTAGTTCAGTCCCACTGGCCAAACAATGGAAAATCTGGAAAATCATTAGATTCCTCCATGTGTTCCTAAAAAACATGGGCGGAATCTCCCGTCAATTACTATATTCTGACATCTGGCACACACGTTTGTCTAAACACCCGAACAGTGGCGACATCAGATTGGCCGCAGTCACTGATCAGCTCAGAGTTCTCACCTGGCTCCTTCAAATTTCACATTGTCGTTTGTGGAGCCAACAGGACCACACACAGATTCTATTTTGAAACAAACATTCAATCTGTGTAAGGCTAGCTTTAGTTCCACATGCAAAACATTTTGTTTATGGATACAATGTTTTCCCATTAAATGTTTAATCACAGACCTGCTGAAATTCCAGCACATGCCCTGAATTATTCATGTCTGCTGTACTTTGTAAGATTTAATTCACAAAAGATGAATTGCACAGGTTCTCTTTTCACTGGTGTTAGGATTGACACACACCCACACACAGACAGACACAGACACCCACACAGACAAACACCTCTGATTTGCACCCGTTTTTGTCTGTTAATGCCCCAGGTTTTGGATAGCATAGGTGAAGTCTAGAACCCCTGTCAGGTTTTACTGCTATCCATTAGAGAGATTGCCCCTCACTTCCTGTTCTGGGGACAACCTTTTACCAGACAGGAAGGAAGGGAAAATCTGCAACAGGGAACCAGACAATAAAAAGCTGATAGAGGTTTACATTTTTACTTCTTTCTGTATCACTGTTATATGGATGTCCGCTCAACTCCTGGGCCGGTGACAACCTATTAACCAGACAGGAAGTGAATAAATCTCAATAGAAAAGCCTCTATTCACAGTAAAATGAGGGCTACTCCCTGCCGTGGCCATTATACGGGGTCTCACAGTCTTTGAATATATTTTACATTATGGAGAATGCAGGAAAAAGGTATGAGATGTCTCCTTATAGGACTACTGAAACGCCAAACCCAAAGAGGGCCACAGCCGGGAAGACTTTAAGAAGCTCACACAGGAAGCTGGAAGTGGATTGTAACTGCAAAACAGAATGAGCGTATGATGTGTGATCCATCACTGCAAACATGAATGAAGAACGAGATCCAATTAACCTGTATAGAAAACAGAGAACCGGCTGTGTCTTATCCAGACTGCAGTGAAGTACCAGGCTGATCGGAGTGCAGAATGAAAACACTCCTGGTTACCATGGCGATTAGTTCCAGACACACTCCCCTCCCCCTTAGTCTATATTAAACCAAATAGAAAAAGTCACAGCAGCAGAAAAAAAAGACAAGGCTTATATATTTCATAAACTCTCCCTGTAGTTATGAAAAAATAGACACTTGAACCTCCTCCAGCTACATCTGACCGTGCAATGTGCAAGAGCCCAAAGCAACCAGCCGGTGAGCATCATTCTCTGTCCCGACTTCTGTACACTGATGGAACCAAATAGAGGCCATCAAATAAACATTTTATAAGGAAAGGAGACTTTTATTGCACCACTGATATTTTTCAAATGCGCGGGTGCTTGCGCTGCCATTCATTCTGAATGGAACCCCAAACCATCTTCCGATGGATGAGCATTGTGATGTCATGTAGTGAAAAATAGAGAATGCGTTATTCTTTACTGCATGTCACCGCAATGGTCATCCACTGCAAGTCATTTTAGGGTGGCATTCAGAAGGAAAGTATGGAGTACTGCGCTGTGCGATAAAAGTGCAGAAACCGCACCTCTAGCACAGGGATGAGGCCCAGTACTCACTATAGCGTGCGTGGTAAAATCATAGAACAAAATATTTACGTCACTCCTTACACCAAGCCAAACACAAATACATGATATAAAACTAAACACAACCAATGTGAGGAAACCAATCATCTGTATAAGGTACATGCTGTGATATAGATGTAAAAAAATAAAAAACACCGGGCGCCTTTCTGGTGCAAATAATCCTTTTATTTGTTTTTATGTTTCACACAGTGTAACCCCTCATCTGTAACGGGGCGGCCTGCCTGGAACACAAGATTCAATTTGTGGCTGAAGGAGGTTCCTATCTGGCGCTGGTTTTGCTTTTTGTGATATAGACGTCTCTACCTCATATACAGCCATGTTATGCTGGATGAAGTACATGAAGCATCATGCCGGTGACATGCCCACAGCACTGAGTCGGAATAATAAGGTATGACAGTTACCATGGCCACAAAGAGGCCCCGTCACCTATAATGTACACTGTATAGAGCCGGATTCCAACCAGACAAAGCCCCAGGACACTTCAAAACGGGCTCTTCACTGTGCAAGTGTGAGAGCGCTCCTGTGGATGACAGCGAACATCTCCTCCATCTGTGTCCTTCATTTGTACAAAGGAGAGCAAATGCAGGCCTTGAAAACCAGCGTTTGTTTCATCATAGGTAACTCACCTTATAAGAAGCATTCACCCCACTTTCACATATAGAAAAGAGACAATTTCATTTTTTAATACAACTGCTTAAAGAACCAATGACACCATACACACTGCAATCTGACAGCCTCCTGTAGATTGACCAATACTCCAATACAGGCCTCACCCAGAACTAGAAGACAGCACTACACAGCCCTACACGACACCTGCTGACATCACGTCCAAGATGGCGGCGCCCAGCAGCAGTCTCGGGGCTTTTGGATGTTTAAACAAGGGAGATAACATGCGGAAATAAGTCTCATGCACATATAACCTCATGGGAAGATCTTTGAAGTGCATGGTTGGGCAACAGGGTCTCTTAAAATGCAAGGAGAGCTTATCTTCCATTGAAGAAAGACGCAGGTCACCGCTGGGACAACAGAAAAATGAACCCCAGCCTGTCATTGTGATCCAATGACTCGGGACTTTCAGAATTATTGATACGGTGTTAATTTTAGTGTTAGTGCTGTGACTGTCATTATTGGTAACGGGGACCATGTGCTCTTCAACCATGACCCAAATCGCATGACGGAAAGGGTTATGTCCTTGCCATCTGTAAGGTCTAACACCTACTGGCATTTGTAACCAAGGAAGACGCAGCGGGGAAGTGCTGTAATGAAGTGTAACTGGGTCCGACACTGAGCTTCAAAAGGGCCCCTGTCATTTTGCACTGAATTGGCAAGATGACAGGGTCCCCGAACGCATGGCACATTAGTGCCTCCTTTCTGGGTCAGTGCCATCTGCAAAAAATAGTGCTTGCAGGATTTTTTGCAGATCGCACTGGACCGGATGGTGTAACAGGGCCCTTTACAAGCATTTCTGGGGAGACCTTATGAGCTGAAGGCCATGAATCATCTAAGGTTCAGAGAGAAACGCATTCCTAAGAATGTTATCAGATCTATTACCTCAATTAGCATATTAGCACAAATGCATACAGGAACCCTCACAGACAGAGCAACCTATAGCTCCGGTGAAGTGGACTTTGTCAGTTGCATCATTAAAAGGAGAACTATGGGGTCAGGGCTTTTCCCCATAGTTCTCCTAAGGGACACGGGAGAACACAAACTAGCGCCCTCCCGTGACCCAAAGCTTTTTTTAAGAGGACAAAATGGGCTTTTATTTGATGTGACATATGCATATAAAAATTCATTTTTTTTTATTACAAAGGTTTTGGCAATAATAATAGTGTACATAATTAGTGTAGCGAACCGAAAGTAATTCATATTAAATTATTTTATTTGTCCCGATTTATAGGGTATATCATATGGTTGGGCTTTCAGTTTATTTCAGGAGTTATAGGTCACAAAATACAGAGTGAAATACAATTTTAGTGTGGAACTATTTTAGAATGCGGTATGTTTGTCTCCTAACTTTAATAGCCTCCTTGGCACTATATTATTTAAAAAAAAATTTTAATCAACTTTTTTTTTACTAACATTTTCAAGTTTCACGAATTCAAAAAAAAAAAGTAAATTGTATTTTTTTTTCTAAAGGAGGGGGCACTAAGGGGTTATTTTAATTTCATTTACAGGGGCTTTGATACTTAGTATCTCTGACAATACACTATTCTCCTCAGAGATTCTTTGTAACACTTTTGTAACATAGCCGGCTAGCAGTTTACAAAACACAGTGAACTGCTGCCGGCTCTGTGACTGTCACAGCTCGATCACAGCGATTAGCCCTGCTGTTGAGGGTCTGCCTCGGACCCTGAGGAACCCATCAACAGCAGTAACTCGATGAGCTGCTGGTCCCTTCACAGACCAGCAGCCTATTGTCCCGAATGACGGAATTATCCAATCACCAGTCACAAATGAACTGAACGTTCCGCCCCACACAGCTACATGTCAGAAAGGGGCAGGGAATGTCAGCAATGTTTTTCAACATGTGTACTCGGGCACCAAGCCCCTTCACATGACTACTAGGCACATCACCGTTACCAAATGACAATTTATTTTTCCATGAAGGGGGAAAAAAAACAAAATCACTTGTTCTGTAGAAGCACCCGGCCTAGGTCACGTGGTCTCAATTGACCAACCACGACTGAAGAGATTTAAATTAGCTGTGAAAGATGAAAGGCTGCCACTTTACATAATTACAAACTATATACAGAAATGTTTTAAACACATTATCATACACTGATGAGATTTACATGAAGGTAATCTCTTTCACATGTATAGTGAAATAGAGGTGTGGCAGTCCATATAAATGCTGCCCTGACATCCATGTGTGACTAGTCAGAAAGACCAGAATATCTTGTTCTGCCGACCCCGGAGCCTTCATTCCTGATGCAGATTATACTATTTCCGCCTCTACTCTCATTTGAATGTTATAACTAAAGTGCATTTTCTTCACATATATTTTCAGTTTAGTGCCCCTTTAAGCCAGGATCCGTCGCACAAAATAGTGCAGGAGCCTTTTTGGCGCTCGTATATGACCCGCACCAGGCCCAAAAGCCAAGTTGTGGTAACGCCTACTTTAAAATTGTTACAGGCTTCCAGTCACAGCGCATAACCTGAAAATGTAAGCAGCAATTTTTTAATATTTCAAGTGCCTTTGACGTGCCTAAAAGCCCCATGTAATGTTAAGCTGGCTATACAAGTTTTAAATGTATCCTTTTCAGCCCCGCAGGCTGAACGAGAGAAAACCACTGAGCCCCCACTACACTTCAGCCCGGATAGAGAAATCCAGCCAACTATTGTATTCAGATACCGCTGCTGAATATCCAAACAGTGTGTTCGAAACCAAAAAGTCTTATTCCACATGTTCATCTGTACACAGGAACAACTACACATCCTGGGCTTGCCTCTTAGGCCCCGTTCACATGTAGCGACTTATCGCGTGATTTCCGTCGCGATATCACGCATTTTTGCCGCGCGATATCGCGAGAAATCGCCGGCCAATGCTATTCAATGGAGCTGTCTTAACTCCATGTCGCTCGTCGCAAGTCGCTTCTACCGGCGGATTTTGCTTTTTTTCTATGGAGCCCGACGGAGAAGGTCGCGCTACCGTCGCCCCGAAAGTCGCGCTATCCCGGCCGCTGCAAAGGTATGTCGCTACATGTGAACAGGGTCTAAAGGTTGCACAGCATTTTAGCTTAAGGATCCCATAACTTTTGTCCACACTAAGGGCAGTCCCCGGGTTACAAACAAGATAGGGACTGCAGGTTTGTACTTAAGTTGAATTTGTAAGTTGAATTTGTATGTAGGTCGGAACAGGTAAATTTTTTTAGGTGCAACTCCAGCCACAAAAAAACATTTTTTAGTTTTTGGAGAGCACAGGGAAGGGTTAACCCTGTTTTGCTGTCCTCATAGTGGCTCTAATCCCACACCATACTAACCAAAACTAAAAAAATACAATTTGATTGGAGTTCTACTTTAAATGCAACTTGGACAGATGTTTGTACAACTTCCTGTAATGCCCAGTACCAGAGGCGGAAGCGGCGGCAGGAACTCCTCGTCTGCACGTCTAACAACTTCCTGTAATGTACAGGAGGTAGAGTACTACGAACCAGACTAGGGCTGCAACAACTAATCGACATAATCGATTATTGAAAAAGTTGTCAACTTTTTCAATAAATCGATTAATCGGCTTCCGATCAGTTGGCCCTGTTCACGGCTTCACACACGCTGCGCGCCGCACCTCCTCCCCACCTCGCGCTCGCCGCTGCCAGACCCGCCCGCCCGCATCCACACTCTTCACGCCGCATTTGTTGTATCCCCCTATAGCTGGTGATATTCTGCACTACAAATCCCAGCAATAATACATTATACAGCGCAATGCAGAATACTGCCAGCTATAATGTACTATTGCTGGGATTTGTTGTACTCCTCTATAGCTGGTGATATTCTGCATTGTGCTGTATAATGTATTATTGCTGGGATTTGTAGTCCTCTATAGCCGGTGCCATTCTGCATTCATTGCTGTATAAATTTACACCTTTCCTTTTCACTATATTGCACACCACACTATTTTTTTCCACCGCTCCAAGCTTGCTCCTGTGATGGACTACAATCTCAATACAAACTAGTAGTCCATCACTGGAGCCATTTTTAATTTTTTTTAATTGTTTATCCGATTAACCGAACTTAATAATCGGCTAACTAATCGATTTTGAAAATAATCGTTAGCTGCAGCTCTAAACCAGACCCATTCCTCATCTGCATGTCTAACAACTTCCTGTAATGTACATTACTACGAACCAGACCCACTCCTCGTCTGCACATCTAACAACTTCCTGTAATGTACAGGAGTTACATTACTACGAACCAGACCCACTCCTCGTCTGCACATCTAACAACTTCCTGTAATGTACAGGAGTTACATTACTACAAACCAGACCCACTCCTCGTCTGCACATCTAACTATTTCCTGTAATGTACAGAGGAGGTACAGTGCTACGAACCAGACCCACTCCTCGTCTGCACATCTAACTATTTCCTGTAATGTACAGGAGGTACAGTACTACGAACCAGACCCACTCCTCGTCTGCACATCTAACTATTTCCTGTAATGTACAGGAGGTACAGTAATACGAACCAGACCCACTCCTAACAACTTCCTGTAATGTACTGGAGGTACAGTACTGCGAGCATTGTAGCATTACAACTAGTGGAACAGCATGGGACCCTCGTTCGTAAGTAGGAGTCGTACGTAACTCGGATGTTAGTAACTTGGGGACTGCCTGTATTTGTTTTATTACATATTTAATATTCTCTGAAATCAAAAAGGAAATTGATTTTTATTTAATATGGAACAAAGATGGATGCCAATTACATTTGTCAATTTCAAGTTCTCAGAGAAAATTGTGGGGGGTTGGGTTCTTTTTGTGTGGAAAGGTACCGACAAATTTGTCCATGTTGTACATGTCTCTGTATCCAGCTAAAAAGGCCCCTAAGTGCTGCCTTTGTGCCCTGTCCCACAAGAAAGTTACTGTTACAAGATATTGATGACTCAGAGGGAAGACTGCTATATTATACTCAGCTGACAGGAAACTGGGTCCTCAGAAATAGGAAAAGCAAAAGAATAGTTGCTTGGAGACCCAAGTACAACAAAAGGACCTTACAACTCATTCCTCAGTTAGCCGAGCTTGAATTTCAACATAATGCCATGAATATTATCAGATTTGGAGGTATTTTGTGCGTATGCAAGTCCTGCCCCGAGCAATAACAGCAATGGCAGATAACCTTGTCATATTTATCAAGTTGGTACACTAGCCAACCGCACTAAATGCGCGGACACTGGAGTTTTGCTGGTAGAAAGTGCCGATTCTGGTGAACCACACCAATTTAGTTTTTGCTTTTTTTTAAATCAGAATTTATGACATTTCATTCAGTTCTATTCACTGCAGCAGAATTGCAACTGTGCTACACTGAACAAACTACTGTAGGTCATACAATGCACACCACCACAATGCGCTGGTATTAACGGACCTATTTATAAGCAAAGCTTTTTGCCTCGTCATTGGGACTGCACTGGGCAAGGTTGCCAGTACAGAATACATTTGCGCCATTTGATAGGCAGCTCATAAACCATTGTGGGTCATGGAAGAAAGTGCGTATAAATGCGCAAAAACGCATGCTTCTGTTGCACGTTTTTGGGCATTTCCAATTAAGTCTATGGGACAAACGGCACCAAGAAGCTCCTGTATCTTTTCAGGTGTTTCTTCTCAAGTGTGAACCAGGACCATTGAAAATGGGATTTCTTGTGTTGGGCAGTTAAAAGTGCTTTTCGAACTGCACAAAAACTCCTAGGTGTGAACCAGGGTTTAATGTGCACTGCAAAAACTGCGACAAAAACAAACCTCAACCGCAGTCACAGGATGTTCACAGCTACAAAGAAAGGAAAAAAAAAAATCAAGACAGACATGTATTTTAAAGTTAAAAAAACTGTCAGAACTGACAACAGGTTATAGGTGCACAGAGTGCTGAAATATACATACTGGTGTCCTGAGAACATTTGCTGATTATTCACCGAGGAGCCCCAGAACCTGAACAAGTGCTGCAACTAAAACTGTCAGACGGTCTCAGGACCATATACTATACAGGCACAGCTAGGAGGTACAGTGCTACGAACCAGACCCACTCCTCGTCTGCACATCTAACTATTTCCTGTAATGTACAGGAGGTACAGTACTACGAACCAGACCCACTCCTCGTCTGCACATCTAACTATTTCCTGTAATGTACAGGAGGTACAGTAATACGAACCAGACCCACTCCTAACAACTTCCTGTAATGTACTGGAGGTACAGTACTGCGAGCATTGTAGCATTACAACTAGTGGAACAGCATGGGACCCTCGTTCGTAAGTAGGAGTCGTACGTAACTCGGATGTTAGTAACTTGGGGACTGCCTGTATTTGTTTTATTACATATTTAATATTCTCTGAAATCAAAAAGGAAATTGATTTTTATTTAATATGGAACAAAGATGGATGCCAATTACATTTGTCAATTTCAAGTTCTCAGAGAAAATTGTGGGGGGTTGGGTTCTTTTTGTGTGGAAAGGTACCGACAAATTTGTCCATGTTGTACATGTCTCTGTATCCAGCTAAAAAGGCCCCTAAGTGCTGCCTTTGTGCCCTGTCCCACAAGAAAGTTACTGTTACAAGATATTGATGACTCAGAGGGAAGACTGCTATATTATACTCAGCTGACAGGAAACTGGGTCCTCAGAAATAGGAAAAGCAAAAGAATAGTTGCTTGGAGACCCAAGTACAACAAAAGGACCTTACAACTCATTCCTCAGTTAGCCGAGCTTGAATTTCAACATAATGCCATGAATATTATCAGATTTGGAGGTATTTTGTGCGTATGCAAGTCCTGCCCCGAGCAATAACAGCAATGGCAGATAACCTTGTCATATTTATCAAGTTGGTACACTAGCCAACCGCACTAAATGCGCGGACACTGGAGTTTTGCTGGTAGAAAGTGCCGATTCTGGTGAACCACACCAATTTAGTTTTTGCTTTTTTTTAAATCAGAATTTATGACATTTCATTCAGTTCTATTCACTGCAGCAGAATTGCAACTGTGCTACACTGAACAAACTACTGTAGGTCATACAATGCACACCACCACAATGCGCTGGTATTAACGGACCTATTTATAAGCAAAGCTTTTTGCCTCGTCATTGGGACTGCACTGGGCAAGGTTGCCAGTACAGAATACATTTGCGCCATTTGATAGGCAGCTCATAAACCATTGTGGGTCATGGAAGAAAGTGCGTATAAATGCGCAAAAACGCATGCTTCTGTTGCACGTTTTTGGGCATTTCCAATTAAGTCTATGGGACAAACGGCACCAAGAAGCTCCTGTATCTTTTCAGGTGTTTCTTCTCAAGTGTGAACCAGGACCATTGAAAATGGGATTTCTTGTGTTGGGCAGTTAAAAGTGCTTTTCGAACTGCACAAAAACTCCTAGGTGTGAACCAGGGTTTAATGTGCACTGCAAAAACTGCGACAAAAACAAACCTCAACCGCAGTCACAGGATGTTCACAGCTACAAAGAAAGGAAAAAAAAAAATCAAGACAGACATGTATTTTAAAGTTAAAAAAACTGTCAGAACTGACAACAGGTTATAGGTGCACAGAGTGCTGAAATATACATACTGGTGTCCTGAGAACATTTGCTGATTATTCACCGAGGAGCCCCAGAACCTGAACAAGTGCTGCAACTAAAACTGTCAGACGGTCTCAGGACCATATACTATACAGGCACAGCCAGGGCTTGTTCACACCAGAACATCTCAGAAACACAAACACGTTATTGCAATGCGCTGTGCATGTTTTGGTTAATGAAAGTGCTATTCGTTCTGAACGCATCACCCGTACACACATGCACTGCAATGCACCATAAATCCCCATTCCCCCTTGTTGTGTCTGTTAAAGTGTGCAGCAGTGTGTGCATTTACGCAACGTGGGAAAAACACAAGACGCACTTTCAGCGCCACTTCTTTTTAACACCCCAAACAGGTCAGGCAAAACACACAATTTTCCCACATGTGACAAACACGTAAAAACACATGATCAAAAACCGAATGAAGCTTGCAGCTCAAACTGCTGCATGAGCGTCTATACAACATTTGCTGTGCATAGGGCAGGCCACTGAAATGAAAGGGCTGTTGCACGGCAAAACAGACAAACGTTACACACGGTCATGTGTGCCGTGAAGTGTGAACTGCAAACAAAAACTCCAACATGCCATAAACATGTACTGTGACAAGTGTACCATTGGAAGGTTTATTCTCAGCAGAATTTTGTCCTACTTCCAATCCCAATGACAGTGATCACTAGAACAACAACCTCAACAGGGACACAGCCAACAGGAAATATCCGATAGTGGCTTTAATCCTTTAACGATCAATCCAAAACTAAAAAAAAGTTGTGGCTTTAGAAGTATCCAACGAACTCAGCCTACCTGTCCACGCTTTCACCTTTGATAAATTGTATTCAGCTCCAATCCCTTTTAATGCCAATATGGGAATACCCATTTGTAATGCAGGAGACATCCCCAAAAATACATCCAATATAGGTTCCTGGTGTCTCAAATACAGAAAATCAGATTATCAGATTATTAAAGTGTCATTACCAAGTTTCTTAAAGATAGCAATCAAATAAAACTTGCTTAAAATTTTTAATCTAGCCAAGAAAACAGTAAGCTTAGAGAAAATCCCAGAGCACAATCTTGCAAATGCAGACCCACCCGCACACCATGTGAGGTGCTCTTCATAATCTGGATAACACACACACCTGCAGGCTTGTGTACAAATTTGGTGTGGATCTGCCCACAAGTCACGTCACCCTTTCACAGATCCTTTGAATGGAGAAATGACAAGCCCCATCAGCCACTGGGGCAGAGTTCACAAAAGGAATATAAGTGCGGTAACGTCACTCCACTGGTAGTCCACTGACCTCAGTATAGGATGGGAGAAGGCCAGAGCATTGCACCCACAACCTACTGATCGCAGTTGCAATACTTTACTGGCTCCCATGGAGAATATAATAAATGCACATTTTTTTTGTTCCTTTTATGAAGTGTGTATTTGTATTTTTGAAAAAGCTGGAATTCCCCTTTAAATGTTGTATTACACCTACATATACATACATTACTGCCCATTGTAATTAGGATGCATTTGTCTGATTACAAACAATAGAAGGGGTTTTTAGGCCAACCAGTGTACTTTTCTGCCCAAACAAATCCAAAATGAATTATTTACAACAGCCACAGATAGGGCTCCAGATTAGACCAGCCTTTCTTAACCTGTTTAACATGAAGGAACCTGTGAAAGGACTTTCCGGTCTCAGGGAACCCCAGCTAAAAGCTACTTTAACTTCCAGTTAGTTTGATGGTCATTGAGAAGATTGCACCTTACATTGATGGTCAGTGGGAAGAATTCCCATAGTATTACATAAGGAGTGTAGTTTTAAACAACTGGAGAACAGCTGGGGCCTGGAGACCCATTACATGTCATTTCTGGTAGTAGTACTATTCAGCATATGCAGGATGGATGCAACACTGCTAAGTAGGATTAACATAGACATAAAAAGCATGCCCAGTGTGTACACAGCCACTGCAGAAGGCATTGCAATGCAAGCAGATAGGATAGGATGCTATGTGATTGGTTGCACTGTGCTTAGTAATAGTTGGGCACACAGCTGGCACTCTATAAAATAACCCTATTCAGCAGTGTCACGCAGCTTCAGTCTGTCTGCACTGAACAAAGCCATCAGATTTTCAGCACAGACAAACCTTTCCTACAAGTTTCAAGAGGAAAAATGAAGTCTGCAACCAGTGGCTAAGGATCTGCAAGGGCCCTCGGCTCTTTTTCATGTACCCACTGGCAGCCTCTCAGTAAAAGGGTTTAGCATTGATTTACGTCAACACCTAGGCCATTGCATATTCTTCTCCATGAGCAAAAAGAGGAGGCATCACCTAGAACACATGTCAATTACAAGGCCGCAGGCCAGAAACCCCCCCCCCCAGTACCAAGCTTTGTACCGGCAAGCAGGGTTAATTTGTTGTCTTGGAGTGGCAATTCAGCTCCCTTCTTAGCTGCAGGTTTCTCATCACCCGCACGTTCCAACTGGGGCTGCAACTAATCGATTATGAGAATAGTTGATTAACGGTTACTTGAATCCTCTAGATCTCTCCTTCACACTGGGAGGAGGGCACAGTAAGCCGTGAGCGGGTGCAACAGTCAGCCTGCTATTGCAATTTGAAATGGCCAATAGCAGGCTGGCTATTGGACCAGCCCACTACCTGCTGTATTTACATTCAGCTGCCATCTGTGGAATCTTGCCACTGGCATCTGTCATTCCCTGACTGAAGCTATTCAAGTGCCAGGTGCTTACACTACAATACAATAAAAAAGGAAAAAAATTATAAAAAGATAGCTATATACTTTCATTCATTAGGGATGCACCGATACCATTTTTTCCAGACAAAGTACTGATACTTGTCCACGCTTTTAAAGATACAAGTACCGATACATTTTTGTTTAGTGTTACATGACAGTTTTTCTAAAACAATAAAGACTAATGATTTCAGGACAGTGGTGGAGCGCCTGAGCCCTGTACCAGCTGCAAAATCCAAGTATCGGCACTGGTATCTGTACATCCCTTTTTTTTTGCCATTCATCTGTATGTGCTTTATGGAAACAGGGCTCACATACATCTTCAGTTCCTTTGATAGGCATTAAACAGGTCTCAATGGCTCTTAAACATTACAGATCCTGTTGAATAGATCTTAATCCTATAACAAAGGCAATCAATATAAGGTTGGGTTGTGTACTGGTTGGAGGTATTGCTTTATACAGAATCTTATAGAAAGCAACAAAAAAAAAACAGGAAATACTAAGTCCATCCCCAGTTCAACTTTGCTCCAAAATACACTGCAAAACATCACACACGCTTAGACCAAGTGCGTTCCAGGTGCAGGGCAGAGCAGTTACAGACCAGATCAAAACTGTGTCCAATGTATTACAATGGTATTTTGGGCTCTAGTTCACATGGCAGCGTTCAGTTCCAGAGCATGTAAAAAAAAAACCTAGCAAGCCCTATTTTACCTGCTCTGGAACGCATGCAAACGCCCTGAAAGCCCATTTTAAACAAAAAAAAAAAAAAATTTATTAATTTTTTTTCACCAAAAATGGCGCATCAAAAATGCGGCACAACCCCCTGCACTGCGTGTGCAGAAACTCATGCAGATCTGGTCTGCATTTGCTGTGAACAATCCCTTAGAATCATGAGCTAAAAGAAGGAACAAAAAAGGAAGTAACCAAATCTAACAATAAAAGCTTCAAATACAGCTGATGCCCTCTAAACTGCAACAGATGGACAGCAGCCAAAACCCAGTGCAAGGTGACAAGATAGCAAATACAAGAGCAGCCTACAGCAACCAGCGATAAGCATCTGTCTCTTCTTCCTCTGCCTTCTCATCAATAAATAATTCACACCATCTAGGAGGAGCTGAAGGCTTCAGTGACTATGTATAAATATACATAGAAAACCCACCAACAGCTTCAAGTCAGGATGTCTAAAGCTGGCCATACACCTAGAGATTATCTGCAGATTTTCTATGGTCAGATGGAAAAAGTGCAACAGATTCCTCCATCTACGCTAAACTGTGTGGCTGGAGGAATCTCCCACTGGGCCAAGCAAGTCAAGTATCTTGCTAGTCGGCCCCACTGGCTCTCAAAATACCTGAACAATCTGATTGGTTGCAGACATTAAGGTATTTTGACTGCCAGCGGGGCCGACTAGCAAGATACTGAAGCTTGGCCCAGTGGGAGATTCCTCCATCCACACAGTTTAGCGTAGATGGAGGAATCTGTTGCACTTTTTCCATCTGACCATAGAAAATCTGCAGATAATCTCTAGGTGTATGGCCAGCTTAACAAAGACAGGCCATTACTACTGGAGAAACAAAGGGGTAAAACCTTCAAACCACAACATATCCAAAATATAAATTTAGCCTTTTCTTTCAGTTTTGGATATAGTAGAGAAGGGTTAGCCCCTCTGTAATGTTTTTATTGCGGTATGTGTCCCGATTGGGGAGATTTCCCTCCTCCATTTTAACTTGTAACCAAAGTCTCCAAGAAAGAGTGAGGGGGGAATCCAATGTTAAAGCTGTCCCCAGAACAAGAGGTGAGGGGAAATCTAATCGGGCCAACCGTCTAGGGGGGCAAATCCCCTCATTTTGGGAGATTTCCTCTAAATTCCTGTTGTGTCTGTGGGACAGAAGGTGAAGGGAAATGTCCCCAAAGGAGACCAGATTGCAATCAATATCACTGCAGGATTTTAACCCTTTCCTTCAGTATCCAAAGCCAACAAAAAAAAAAAGATTTGGCAATAGATTGGATCTTTATAAAGTTTTAAAGTATAGCCAAAGTCAAAAGAGATCTTAAAACCGCGTCCAATGTATTCCAATGGTATTTTGTTTAGTTCGCACCGCAGCGTTCAGTTCCAGAGCATGTAAAAAAAAAAACTGTAGCAAGCCCTATTTTACCTGCTCTGGAACGCATGCAAACACATCAAAAATGCATGTTAAAGCCATGGAATGCACTGAAAGCCCATTCTAAACAACAAAAAACAACCCCTTTTTTTTAAATCCAAAAATGGCCCTGAACGCATCAAAATGCAGCGGGAAAAAAAGCAGTATAACACTGCACTGCAAGTGCAGAAACTCGTGCAGTTTTGGTCTGCATTTGGTGTGAACAAGCCCTTAAGAAAACTATTTTTCTTTCTTTTTTGGGAAAAAAACAAGAGTAACCAGAACGTTCTGTGAAAGAAAACAAACGTATGTGAAACGCCAACCTGATCCTCGGGAACAACTGGCTTGGGCAGTGTTTGTTTAGCAGTGTGATATTTGCACAGTAGTTATTGTGAAATCTGTTTGCATTAAACATATAAGATCTGTAACCCTTCACAAAAATGTCCTAAAATGTGTGTAATATTGAGAGCATCAGTCATTGATCAAATTAGACATTTCTCTTGTTGCAATAAAATAACGAATCCACCTATATTGCAAAAAAACAAAGTGCAATTATTATTTTTTTGTAGCTTGCAAAGCATTGCAACTGCAAACTGTGGATTGTGGGTGCAATACTCAGGCTCCTGCAGAGTGTTCCTCCAGCCCAAGTCTGTACTAACCTACGGACCTTCTGTTATGGGAATGGAGGATGTTATCAACAAGTGAGATGTCACTGCACTTGTACTCTATTGAGAACAACACGACCTGCTGCACTGGCAGATGGTACCAGTAGTTTTTCCATTCACAGATACTGCAAATCATAAATGCAGGTGGAACATGATATGAAGGGTGACCTTAGCCTTTATGTTCTACTACAGTTGTTCATCGCTTGACCTATAATGCCCTAAAAGCCCCAGGATAGTGAACATGAGCAATGATATCTTTATCAGATGACCAAAACCACAGACTCTGGAGGTAACTCTAAGAACACCCATCACTGCCCAGTGGGCATCCAACACATATAGTTACCTTTAGCCCTCGTTCACACCTAGGCAAATTGCATATGCGCGTCTGTCGCGACCGTTGCACGATTCCAAAGGCTACTTGGCTGTATCCCAATGTAAAACGCCCTACAAAAAACGGCCCAAAGAAGTACATGTACTTGTTTGAGCGTAGGCCGTTTTGTAGGGCGTTTCAGACGGGCGGAAATACGGAAAGGTGTGAACCAGACCCATAGAAAACAATGGGATTTTCATGTTTGTACGTTTTGTTGAGCGTTCATAGAGCGTTGAACACGTGACAAAACGTAAAGGTGTGAACGGGGCCTTAGTCTCAAGGATTTTTGGCCCGGTTCACATCTAAGCGTTTTGAGAACACGCAGCAATTTGCACATTTTTTTGTGCGCCATTGCCGTGCGTTCGCAGAATAGAACCCCAAACCAGGCACACAATTTGAGCGGCTTCCCGAGCAAACGCAGTGGAAAAAAACGCAGGTCACAAAAAAGGTGCAGGAGCCTTTTTGCCCTACAGATATGACCACATTGAAATCAACGAGGCTGTGCAGCAAAAGCACAGAAGGCGCGTTTCCGGGATGCCTGGACCGGAACGCTCAGATGTGAAGCAGGCCTTAAAGATTAAGGCCAAACAAAAGAGACTATTACAGACCATGCATAGTCAGATGCTGGTCATGCTTTAATGCATCATGCTAAACTATGTAGGCTTGCCATCACAGAATGAGCAGAATCAGAACACTGATGTAGATGAACTAAGCAAGTTCTATGTAAAACACCCGTCAAGCTCATTGCACAGAAGTAGTATTAGTATGCTGACCACAGAGGGTTCTTGAAGCACAGGCACAACCAGACTGTCCAGAGACACTTTCAGTACAAATCCTCACCAAACAAACATACACACTTGTTTATGCATATGGAGACAGGAAGGAAGGGCAGCAAGAGGCCTCTCATCTCTGCAGGGAAAAATAACAATCAGGCATATTGATCCTATACAACCATAGCGATTATTCAAACTGGTGCGGGATTAGCAAAATCAGCAAGATCGGTCATTGCTCAACTAATATGTATAGTCATCAATAGGAAAAGTAGACATGGGCATTTTTTTATCTTAGTTGGTAAATCACTCTAAAAACATCAGGTTAAATCAGCATTTACAAAGCATCAAACTGCTGTTACAAATGGCTTAAGGAGAAATGAAGGTATCCTTTTTGGCTTTACTTCTCTGTTGGATCACAGAAGTCAATTCTCTAATGTTCTCCTGGGACCCAAAGTTAGCAGATAGCAGACTTAAGCTGGCCATACACCTTACAATTATCTGCAGATTTTCTGTGGTCAGATGGAAAAGGTGCAACAGCTACACTTAACTGTGTGGATGGAGTAATCTCCACCTGGGCCTATCTGTTGCACTTTTTCCATCTGACCACAGAATATCTGCAGATAATTGTAAGGTGTATGGGCACCTTTATGCCCGCTATCAGCTGATGGCATTCAGGCACACAGCAGCCAGGAGGGATCCTGACAATATTGTTGGGATCCACCCTGGCTGCCTAATTGACAGCTGATGCAAGCGGCTTAGAGCTTGACCGAAAGGGGGTGGGGGATTACCATAGACAGTCACTGCTCTCTACTCGGAGAGACCAAGAGCTGACTGATCAGTAGTCATATGATCGGTAAGCTCTCAGTCTTGTAGCATGGGACAACTGCTGTGTCTATGCCAGCTCTAAGTATTAGGCTGGGTTCACACCTATGCGTATCGAATTTGCGCCTTTTTTTGCGCGTTCCGTGCCTAGCGTTTTTACCGCGATTCGCTGTAAAAAAAACGCGCGACAAATACGTTTCCGAAGGCTACCTGGCTTTATCCCAAGGGATACGCGTGGCAAATACGCCCCAAAGAAGCTCCTGTACTTCTTTGGGCATAGGGCGTTTTGCAGCGCGTTCCTACGCGCTGTAAAACGCCCAGGTGGGAACCATGCCCATAGGCAATCATTGGTTTTCACATGTTGAGCGTTTTACAGAGCGTAGCAACACGCTGTAAAACGCCCAGGTGTGAACCAGGCCTTAGGAAGAGCGTTGTACTCTCTCCATACTTCAGCACTGGCCTGTAAGTGCTAAATACAATTTTAAAAGGATGGGCAATTGTTCTTAACAATCATTTAGCAGGCATTTCCCAACCTCCGGGAAACTACTAGGCTGAGCGCAGCATATACTTTCTAAAGCCAAGCTCACTATGGTGCTGGACACTCAGCAATGGACATGTCGCTCAGGAGACATTTGCCCAGCATTGGGATCAATGGCAGGCATTTAGAGTGGAGGTGAAGAATCCTTTCTAAAAAAAAAACAAAAAAACTGCTAACTAGCAGTTTGTTATAGCAGACAACTCTCCAAGTCTCTTCTGACAAAAAAAATTCCTACCTGCCCGTCAGCAATTTCCTTTTTTTTTTTTGCACACATACATGAGAATTACACATTGTACCAGCCAGTCAATCAAGAGGCCGAATACCAGAAGATGATGAATACAGCGAACCCAGAAGATGATGAAAAGATGGCAGAGGTGGTGATGGAGGGGAAATGGAGAGCACAGCGCTGGAGGGGATAGTGTTACGATGTAAATTGTCCATATTGTGCTAACATGCCATGCTAGTACATTATGACCAACACCACACTTTTTTTTGTAAACCAACCTAAAATTCCTCTAAGTCAGCACACTGACCTGGAGATGTGTGGCCTTGGTGGAAGGTAAATAAGGTCAAGTAAGACCTTTTAGTGTTCAAGTGAACAAGAACCTAGAATTTAGAACACACCTCATTCCCAACAGGACGTTCTTCAGCCTACAATTTACAAAACATCTATCTGTGGGGCATTCTCCAGCATCTATTGAATTGGGTCCAATACTACATTCATTGACTTGCATTAAAGATGATTTCTATTTAAGTGTGCATAAAATATGAAGCAAGGCAAACCTCAAACAAAAATCAACAATCTTTTGAAAAATATTTAGAGCAGATGTAGAAACCAACTTCGGAAAATGGCTTGTTCACACTTTAGGTTTTAAAAATGCATACATTAAAAAAGACATGGTTTGCAAGCATTTAAAATTTAGATGCCAAGCAATACTTTAACCAGATGAGATTGGTCCCTCAGTGACGCATCTATATTTCAGAGGAAGGTTACAGACAAGAAAATAGGAAGGGAAACTATTACTTCTGTAAGGCCGGGTTCACACCAGCCGCATGATAAACAAATCCATTTTGGCTAGTGGCTGGGGTGGCGGCGGTATGTAAGGAAACAATTTACTTTATTGGTAGTGTACAGGTCTTCACAGAGCAGCACACAGCACAGTGTTCTGATCCTCAGTGGCATCCGCTGGAAAAATGCAGCAAACAAGCATTTCTTCAGCGTTGTTTTCTTGAACAGAGCACATACAAAATAATTGTTTTCTGTGTGCCGCGACTGGCATTGATCCATTGTGGAAAAATGTCAGTCACCGCAACTAATGTAAAGTTCTTAAACATTGACCTCCAAATTAAAAAGCTCATTGTCTCCACTATATATCACTCCAGATGCCACGGCCACAAACACCAGGTCTGGGTGTCATGCTTGCTGAGGTCCTTCTCCCTCTTTGGTCTACACACAGTAGAGAAGAAGCAGCTGAACTAATAAAAGTGTAAATGTTATAACTTACAAGAGGAATGACGATAGCGATCCCTGCCAGATATAGCTCCTTCTTTAATGTACTTTATCACTATGCCTACTGTTAGGGCAAAGGGAATTTACATTGGCACTAGTTGTGCAGTTCAATACTTCCTGACTGTGCAATGAAATGTGCTGACATCAGTAGGTGTGACCAGCCGCTCTCAGCTCTAGCCAGCAGATCACATTTTCAGAACTTCCTTAATCTTACACAAGTTATTTATTATGTGTCATTATATCAGAATTCAAAAAAGTGAACCTGTGGAGGGAGAGGGAGAATCTGAGAATAAGCAGCAATGATTCAGATAACATCGGGGCAGTCTTGGCACGGCGGCCTACGCGATCAAAAGATGTCTTTAGACAGGTCAACGTGGTAGCAAGTATATAAGGCTCCATTCACAATTTTCCACGCATATGGAAACACGATAAACATAAAATCCAATGCACTGCAATGTGCATTGTTCAGACTATTGGGGCGTCCACGCGGTACGAAACTGCACGTACCACAAAATAGGCCAGGCACAATTTTATGGGTGGATTCAGTGCGTTCCGGCTATAGTAATGTGCGGAATACACATGTATGTTACCGTTTGTGCAGTTTCGTTTAGCGCAGCTACCACTATGTGTGAATGGAGCATACAGGTGTAGGTCATCACACTTTAGGTTTTATATATGTCTAATATATACTTCAATCCAAGACCTAGCTTTCTCTATGTAAACACTACATAGGCATTCAGACTTGCACATTCTTCCATCTGGATATAATCCTTAGGCCTGCCAAAACTCAACAGGCATCCTTGTTATCTACATGGCTCAATATGCACAAGTGCTGAGAAAAACATTCGATTCTCAGTGCATGCAACTGAAAAGAACTCTATATCAACAAAGCAAGTCGTGTTTATTTCTACTAGTCCTCCACGCAGGAGGAATGACACTAAATCAATGATCAGGCATGCAGAGCAGGTGATCAATCAGACCAAAAAGCCTACAAAATGTCTGAAAGTGCTAGAGGATACCTGGACACAGAGGAAGAAGATCCTGTAAAGAACAATAGATGATTGTCCGCACCAGTTTGAGAGATTTCAGAAAACATTCATTTTGCGTATAGCAGCACACACAAGTCTGAAGAGGTGTAACATGTCACTTATTTCATCAATAATGCATTACATGCACAACATGCAGCTGGGGAACAGAGGAACTCTGAACCTTTGCCCTACACAAAGCACATTTTTGAAATGCGGGCTGGAAAACAACAGCAAAGTATTGGAAGCTCAGCAGAGCACTGCTATGCAACATGCCAGTCTTCCCTGCTGCATTTCTATTTGAAATTATTCAAAAGCAAGATCATTTACCACAACCCACCTTCTGGCATGGGCGGAACAATGGCCTTGTTAGTGTGCTCACTTGATGCAGTTTTACTGCTTCTCTGCTACATAAGGGAGCTTGGAAACAGATGCACACCACAGGACAGAGGGGTTTAAAAGAAGCAAACAAAAATACAAGATTAAAAAACAACTCTTCTAAAAAGTAAATAAAACCCGACCGTGGCCTACTATTAAAACCTGACAAAAGAATTCTCGGAAAAAAAAACTTGTCCACAGTAACCAACCAGGGTTAGTTTTTCTACAAAAACCGATTGGCCGCTGATGGATAAATCCAGGCCGGGTTACAGAACATGATAAAGACATTTGCTGTTCAACATCAAACTTTAGGAGTATGAAGGATCATTCCACGCTGAGACCAGAGTTACCGACATAAGAGGTTTCTGGGGACAATGTGACAAAACAACTATTATTCTCCAGTACTTTGGGTGCATGCAGCGACTGAACTACAATGCTTAGCTTGTTAGGTCCCTGGCAGAGAACACAGAAGATTAATGGCTGAACATTTCCAATGAAGATGTCAGTCTTGAAGTACACCTGAAAAGTAAAGCTGGTCATACACCTATAGATTATCTGCAGATTTTCTGTGGTCAGATGGAAAAGGTG